AAAAAAAAGTTGGATGTGGCTGCATTTACAACATTAGGAAAATTGGGAAATTTGGGTTTACATAGTAGCTCCTTAGAATTATACCATGTTTACATACCTATCTAATACATACATATATTAGAAAGGTATGTAGGAGATTTCACTAGTATTTGTGTTTTATTTATTCTAAACTTGTAAACTTACTCAGAGATATTTAATTAACTCAATGTGCCAAATGAGGTGTTGTAGCTGGTAGCTATATTATCTGGACTTTATCCCAAGATCCATCCAAAAAGTCAATTTGCAGAGTTACCGCATTACAAATGTTGGTCCAGGACTTCCATAAATTAGGATTTTGTGAATGTACACAAAGCCAGATTTATTTTTACAATTTGTAGCAGGATATACTCACTGTGCTTACTGGGATCTAATAAATTAGTTTTCTTTTCTCCTTCGGAGAGCAAAAGTCTCTAACCCTTCTGCAATTCATCTCTCACCACAACGTCCAGGGGCTTCAGGTCAGGCTTTGGATCAGTTACATGTTTATGTAGGACCTTTAACACAGACCACAATCACATGTCTGTGATGGGAAAAACAGTGAGACAAATAGACAGATGACAGACTGACTGATCAGCTGACAAGCGCTTAAAACAGACGGATGACTTTGGAGCGGCCGGGAGGAATAAGCAGTCAGAGTGTTGGGCCTACATGGCAGATGGACCACCATGAAGTGCAAGGACAGAGCCAATCTCTTCACATGGTTCCCTCCTCCTCCTCTCTCCACTGCAGTTAATAAGCACCTGTTACACAACAAATTAACTTGACTGAAAAAATACCCGGACAGCTTTATGCCTTTTCTATGATAAGGAGCTTGATTATGGGAGCTGGTATTATCTGTCTATTACTGTACTCCATATTTTGATAGCAGGGAGCAGAGGGGTGAGCAGATGGCTTGAAAAGATATGGCGTTTATTGTTTGACTATGAGAAGAAGCTTGATGCCGGGCAAGAGGTGGTGCTGGTCTAATGATTAATCTGTTAATTAAAAATGAAATTCAAAGCTGCACAAAGTTTTTGGCTTATAAACATGTCAGTATTTTATATGAATAAAGTTGATATCAGCAGATTCATGCATCTGGCTATTCATGCTGGCTCATTTATTAATCCAACCATCCATTTTCTTCCGCAGCATTTTCTTGGGCAGTAGCCCAAGCAGAGAAGCCCAGACCTCCCTCTCCCCAGCCACCTCCGTCAGCTTATCCGGGGGAACACCAAGGCGTTCCCAGGCCAGCCAAGAGATATAATCTCTCCAGCGTGTCCTGGGTCTGCCC